TAATTTCTTCGAAGGATGGTATGAGAAAAAGTTCTCTTTTAATATTTTTATTCAACCTACTAGGATGTAAGCATACCCATATGGATTCATCATCTCTTTTCACAACGACTCAATTCTGAACCATATTACGTTTTTGACATCGTTTGAGATTATATTCACGGATAGTTTTTTTTTTTTTTTTTTTTTTTTTNAAGGGTTAATATGCTACAAATGTTCAAACTAGTAACTTTGTAGAAATAGGATAGGGGGAGGTATTTAACAACCTACTTAGAAGACTTACATTCCCCTTAAAAATGGGAAGAAATGTTTACAGAGCTCATTCTCTTTGCATTACTTTTTTAGGTTCCATTTTTCTTTTTTCTTTAAGCAAAAACACTGTGTATATTGCAAAAATAAATTTAAGCTTTTAAAAGAACCCCGCACCATCCTTATGGGAAATCCCCCCAGTCAAATTTGATGAAACTTGGATATGTAGCTCAACTCGTCATTCTGATCAACAGCTCTCACGGGTTCAAAGAGATCCCATGTGCGGTTTTCGAGATATTCGCCGTTTAAAAGCGTAAATTGAGGTTTCGCTGGCCGGACCATTGAGCGGCGCTACTCGTGCCGTGCCCTTCCCTTCCAGACCACTCTTACCGCTCTCCGCTTCCCCGCCACCCGTACTCGAGGCTCGGACTCCGACGCTCACGAGGCTTTACTCATCGTTGCCGGCCCGGGTGGTCTTATCACCACCCAGATAAGACCACCCAGGAAGGGCACGAGTAGCGCCGCTCAATGGTCCGACCAGCGAAACCTCAATTTTCGCACGTAAAACGGCGAATATCTCGGAAACAGCGTAGGGGATCTCATAGTGCCCGTGAAAGCTTTTGATCAGTATGACACGCTGAGCAACATAGCCAAGTTTCATTAAAGTTGATGGGGGGCGGGATTTCCCATACAGATGGTGCAGGGTTCTTTCGCATAAACTGCAGCTTCATCGGTGAAGGCAGACACATAATCTATTGGTTTTTTAAAAATAAGGCCAAGCTGTACTGATGTTTGTAAGCTAAATAGAGGTGTAGAGCCTGTTTTGGTGGCAGTGAACTTAATTTTATGTGGAACACATGTATCAGGTGATTGACTGTTTAAGGTTACATCACCATAAGTTTCGATAGGAACTCTGCCATATCCGGAAACCATTGTTGTCTAACTAAATCATCACTTAAGATTTTAACTTTTTGTTAAAGATGTCACGGTAAAATATTTATTTCAGCACCGGTGTCGATTTTGAAAGCAATGAAAGAATTATTATCTAGCAGTTGTTGCAACCAAAACTGATCATTTGTTACAGCGGAAGAAACTACATTCACACTTACATGATTTAGTTGATCACAATAGCTTTTAATATCACTTTCTGAAGCTTTTTGATTGCGACCCGCTCTCACTTCACTTTCAGATCTTTTACTGCACTTGCTTAAATTATTAACAGTAACAGGAAGATTTGAAAAATTGGGCTTTGCTGGTACATAATCATGTGGAATGCAACTAATTTCTAAAATATAAACATACTCTGAAGCTTCGACTTCATCAAGGTGTTTTGAAGGTGCGGAATTTTCAGGACAAACTACTTCGTTAATTCGACACCTTTTTTCAAAATGATTTTGACCCAAACATTTCTTACACTGTTGCCGATATGCAGGACACTCGCTTAGGATGTTGTTGACCACAGGAACGACAGTCAATGATCCTCGATGGCTTCTGTTGATAGGGCTAGTTGTATTTGTTTTGGTAGTTGTGTTTTTGTCCTTGATTAGAATTGTTGTTTTTTCGTACTTGTCCAGAGTTGTTGTTTTAAGCTCGACCAGCGAAGTTGTTGCTTTGATTTGAGAGGTTGTTTTTAAATCTTCCACTATTTATTTGATGCACATTTGATGCTTTGAGTTGTTTGACTTCATCCGACCTATTCTTTCCTGCCTCAACGGAGAGGCACAAAGAAACTACTTCCTCTAATGGCAGTTCCTCGCCAAGGAGACCTTCTCTCAGTGGAACGATATGGATGCCGATGATGATTTGTTCTCTGATAAGTGAATCTCTAAGCTTTTCGAATCCACAATTTTCGGCTACTTTTCTAATTGCCATATAAAATTGATCAAATGATTCCCCCTCTTGTCGATCCCTAGGATTGAACAGGTTTTTACAGTAAGCTACGGTCAGTTTATGCTTGGTGAGTTCAGTTAGAGCTCTAAAAGACCATCTACTGTTTTCTTTGGAGCTTCAGTAATGGTAAGGGTGTTATGAATTTCTTCCCCATCAGTGCCTAATATATTGAGAAAGATAGCGACTTGGACTTTCTCATCTTTCTTGTCTAATTTGTAGCCCATACTTCAATTGGATTCCTGGTTTTGAAGCGTTTCAGGTTTTCATGGACGTTTCCAATGAGAGAAAGGTGCCCCACCTCTAATTTCCCATGGTTTTAGCCTCAGAGGGGGTCTGAGGATGGGACAACACATAAAAGATGTATGCACTGAGGCTAAGAGAGTGGTAACAAATTTCCGACTTCTCATTCCTAACCTGAAAGGTCCCAATTTTATTCAGCGGAAAATTATGACTCATGCTTTTCTATCCATCATCTTTTGTGGCGTCACTATATGGGCTCCTTCTTGTGACACAAAAAAGAACATTAATGAGTTAAGAAAGACCATTCACCGCATGAAGATTGCATTAAGTTGTGCTTACCGCTCAGTCTCCGATTTTTGCCTCAGTGTCATATCAGGCATACCATCTGAGCGAATATTAATACAAGAGAGAATAGATAAGTACAATACAAAAGACCCGACTAAAATTCAAAAAGATAAAATGGCTCGATGGACTATAGAGTGGGATTCCTCCCCTAATGAATGGATCAAAAGACTGATCCCAGTACTATACTAATGGATCAATAGAAACCACGGAGACACAAATTACTACCTCACTCAGTTTTTGTCCGGTCATGGAGCTTTTGCCAACTACTTACACAGGTTCAAGATAAAACAGAATCCAAACTGCCCGTTTTGCCCAAATGAAAGGGATACACCAGAACACTCGTTCTCTAAATGTAAAAAATTTTACAGACAAAGACAAAATCTGGTATCACAAATAAATGCCCAACTTACCCCGGACAACACCATTACACTAATGATCGAAAAAAGGCACACCTGGAAAATTAAACACACATTTATTAAAGAAGTTCTGCAATGCAAACAATTTGCAGTAAACTTGGACCAAGATGACAGCAACTACCAACCCCCTTCCTCCCTCGACGACATGGCTCAACTAGGCAATTCCGAGGTCAACAAACACACTTAAATAGACAAATGGAGATTGAGGACCTCCAGCACTCCAAAAATTAGATTTAAGATACTTTTACAGGAAAAAATTTACAGGGGGGAAACACACTATATGAATGTAAGTAATAAATCAATATAGGCTCATATTAGAATGTAAAAGAGGCCTTTGGGTTAAGTTCTGTCCAACTTAATTCCACCCTGTAATTATCAAAATAAACAATAAGTTAAAAAAAAAAAAAAATGAGAGAAAGGTGTTCAAAGGGTCGCAATTCCATAGTTTCAATTGCTAGTCTGAGAGATTCTTGAATGCAACAATTACTGAGCCTCATGATAATGATGGGTACCTCAACTTCTACTGTTATCAGTCATCACCTTGTAGCGCATGCAGACTAAGACATTATGGAAACAATGCGAACTGAATTGATAGGTTAAAATTCATTAAAATCACTGTAAATGTAGATTCTGCTTGAAAGTCATAACGGGGGCCGATTAAAACAATATATTTTACCGATTTTCTTCTGATCTGCGGCGGTGAGCTTAGTGGCCTAACAGGTGCATGGCCAGTCCCCAGTTAGTCAGGTGAATCCGTTGATTTCCGTCACGTTTACTTTGTCGCCATGATGTGGATGGGTGGTCTGAATAAAATGAAGACGCAGATGATCAACTAAACAATATTTATTGAATAAAAATCACGAAAACACATCAGAAGGAAAGGCTATAACTTGGCCCAACGCCATGTCCAGGTTACAAGTTGAGTGGCTGTTGCCAGATGAGCCACCCCACTCCCTATATTGATGTTGGCTGTGATGCCACATAGGCCCTACTACAATAATGTCCCCTCCTGATTGAGCGCATTGATGGTAAGCGTTCGTCGCTCTCTGTATAGGCAAGGATCGTCGCTCTCTGTATAGGCAAGGATAGCCGATACCTGTAACAACTGTAATTGTCAATGTACATGCCTCTTGGTCCGATTTTTCCGATAAAAGTAGGTTATTAGTGAGATTTTTCCCGAAGCCATCATGACCGGAAAATTTGCTTGCATCTTTGTCGCAATCAAAGCAGGGTATTTGCATGTGATCTTCAACCATGGAGGATAATTGTCGATTGTTTCTGATGTTCTGATGTTTTTGTGTTCTAAATAGAAAAGTACAAGCATTTTCAGACATTACCAACATGAAAACTGTTCAATGTTGCTTGTGAGGTGCATTGCAGCTGCATTTGAAAATCGGATCCACAGATACCCCTAAATATCGGACCCGCGGCGAGAGGAGGTGGGCTCAAAAAAAGGTTGCTATCTCAGGAACCCACCAACCCAATTTGGAAAACTCTAACTAGTTTGAAAGCTGGAATTATCACAAAATTGTTTTTAAAGATTTGCTTTATATACGATACTTTTTGAGGTATGAAACAGGGAAACTTACCTTTGGGTATACCCTTGTTCATCTGACAACATTGTCAGTGTCAGCTGATAAAATGTATATTTTCACATAAGAGGTTAATAAAAGTTTTCAGTCAGTCTTTGACATCTACCGAGAATTGTTTTGTATTTATTTACAATTACTACGTAATTATATATTTTTCTTATTAAAAACTAAGAAAAACACCCTCATAATAAAATATTTCTGAACTCAGTTCTTTTTTATTGTGATAGATTAGCTTTTAACCCATCCGCTCATATTTTATTTTTGCTCCCAGGTATAATTTGACAACTGGAAAGTATCCTTTTGAAGGTGATAATGTATATAGGCTATTTGAGAGTATTGGACAGTGCAACTTCCAAATACCTGATTCAGTATCCCCAACGCTAAAGTCTTTACTTGAAGGAATGTTGCAAAAGCAGCCAGCCGATAGGTTTAGTATTCAACAAATTAGACAGAATTTGTAAGTATACTCTTCTTAGTCATCTGAATGTAAATAAGTTAGCAGAAGCTAATCCATGCAGTTGTCAGAGCTATGATCATGACCTCTGATCCTGATTCAGTGTGACAAAATAGGGTTTTGTCCCCTGTCCCCTTTAAAAAAGGGTTTCCGTAACTTAGACTTTAAAAGAATATATTTCCGACAATGTTAGAGTTTTCACAGTGAAATGTTACCCAGGATCTCTTTCACACTCAATCTGTGGTGAGATTTTGAAAACTTCTGCAACGTGCGGCAGTTGTGAATAATGCAATGTAATAGTTTTACCACATCTCATGTGTGGTGATTGAAGAATATTGGGGTTCAGGAACCGCAGGACAAAAAAAACTCACTTTCGGGATGTAAAAACTTTTCTAGATTTTTATGAACTTTTTGGGGAAACAGAATCAAGCAGTACAAAACTCAATATAACTTATTATTTTTAAGGTTAGTAAAAAAACCTAAATCTTCTCCCTCTCCAATACTTCATCAGCTGATCCCGATTGGGGCTTGGACTGTGATTTTGATTCTCTACTGTAGCTTAAGTTTGACTAACAATTTCTCATACCTCTAAATCGGTATATAGTGTCTGTCCAGGTCCAGTTGCATTGCAACGTTCTTTATCATGAAAGAGGCAAGATTGAGAATAATTCATGATTGAACAAAATATTTAAATTAAACAAACTTGAAAAATCAAGCGAACAACAAAATATCTCATAATTTGCTCTTTTATTATTCTTCTTCTCCCAATTAGCCTTGGAGCTATACAAGGACCCTTCCCTCTTATTACGAGTGGCACTGCAACAAAATTGAGGGTGTCAATTTTTATTGCAAATTCGTAAGTGCGACTTTTCCTTGCAACAAATCCCGAGAAAACGTTTTGAGGAGACAAGGTCCTAGAATTCAAGTTTTGAAACTAAAGTCCCATTTTTCAAAGCCACACTTGCTTTGTTGATGATCTTAACTTAAATTTTTAGATCACATTGTTTCGAATGTGTCTCCTTGTTTTCAGATGGTTTATTGTGAATCCACCTAGAATAGAACCTGAAGTGCCAGTGCCTAATTTAAGAGGCCAGAAAGACCACAAAATGACAGTTCTACCCTACATCATTGATTATTTTGATGAAACGAAAGGCAGTAGTGACGATTTCGAAGAGGAGGTCGAATATTTGATGACTGAAAGGGAATATTTTGGTATGGAAATCTGTTTAGATTTGATCTACAAATCTTTTTAAAACTGTTTTGTCTTTATAGATTTTAGAGGAAGGATATTTGCTTATTGAACGCGCTTCATAGATCCCTAATATTTACTGACAAAATATTTTCTTTTGTATTCCGTTTTTTTGTAGCAGCAAATCATTGTAATTCCTTGTAACAACCCATTTCCAGAGTTATAAATCTGAATTTCAGTTGAGGTTCGCAAGAAATGTGTATTTTATAGTTCTTTGTTCAAAGCTTTCTTAATCCTCCCTTGGGCTAGAACTTGAACCAGGGAACTTCTCAGAGGTTTTAAAGTCAAAAACTAAACTTCAATTATTGCTAGAAAAACGTATCGATTTCTTATCTCTATGCCCTCTGGTTTTTGATAATCGTAATGGTCCAAATTTCTTTAAGTCCTCCCCATAATTATTTTGTATTTTTGGTAAGAGGTCTTGTCCATCCTGATATTTTTTTTCAGTTCCACACCCGATATTCATCTCTACTGACCGAATCCATGGATTATTTTAAAGACTGTGATAACTTGTGACAAAAAGTAATAAAACTGTATCTTAAAAGAACTTCCTTGAATTATTTAGTCAGTCTCAATTATCAGTTTAGTGATAAATTAGTGTTTTTGTTTTAGTGATATTGTTTAATTTTTGGTTCTATTCTCATAATCACAAATCTTTGGATAATCTTTGGTACAGTATCCTATATTTGAACAAAATTCGCTAAGAGAAGCATAAAATGTAACATAGCTGGTTTTTTCGTGAGACTTCAAATCAATAACATGCCTCGGTGACGAACTTGAGTTTTAAGGCAGTTTTTGAGTTCATGACATAAACATTGCCCATTTTTACAGAAATCCATGAAAACTTAACAAACTTTTTGACGTTAATCAATAACTAGAAGCATATTCTTATTTTCGCCCTGTGCTTTGTGTCCAATTTTTTATTCTTTCTTTGTGGGATGAGGAAGACTGGTGACTTTAATTAGGATACTTGTAAACAGGCAAAAAATCAGACAGTGGTACTTTAGGAATGAAAATTAAGTGGGATCAAGATTCACAGCTTATTTCACTCAAGTCCGTGGCAAAGAATCAATGTCTGCCACATTTATACTTCGTGGCTGTTTGACGGGCTTAAGCGTGCCAAAATTGAATTTCAAACTAAAACGCAGCACCTGCATCCGTCTTTGGAAACGGATTAAAATGAACAACAGATATCTAGCTTTGCTGATACCCTTCAACAAGTGGCATGCATTATATCAATAGAAAAACTAATCAAAATGAAAAGAACGAGCGTGACGGATTTGAAATCCCATGTAAACAGAATGATCACTATTCAACTAAAGTTGTCTCAATTCACCAAAAACTTCAACTTGCTAATCACAAACACTTCATCCCATTGCAAGACATCACAACGCAACATCGACGCCGGCCGGTGTGAGCGCTACTCACACTCACTTTGATCATTCATCCTAATGAGTCTAGCTCTGATGAACTCTAGTCTAATTTCATGAATGATGTTTCTCCGCTTGTGAAAAATTATTCTGCAGATTTTCTACCTTTTATCTCTTGTTTTACATTGGAGAGACGTTTCTAAATGTTTAATGATGCTAAAGTTTTTTAATATCGTTTTACTCTCTAATTTGTATCGGTGCAAACTAAGAACCTTGGAGTAGATATGTGTGACAAACCTGAGTTTGGCGAATAATAGGTAATTTTTTCAACAAACTTGGAAGAGAAAAATGTTGTATTCACACTTAGACCCAAAAATGGAAAAAACACATTCATATGCTTACAAAAGACCAGGGACAAGAAAGTCCCTTTTTTCAAATATTTGCCCCCTTTATCACAGAGTTGACCATGTTAGGCTGCCCAAAGGGAGGAGCTGTTAAAGGTGCGATTATGAATACAGCCTTCAGTCGATTTCTTTTCCAATGGTTCCTGGGTCATTCCATGCTAAGTCAAACCAAAATTTGACCCGACCTCTTTAGAATTTGATGAAATTTGGTACTTTCTCTCCCCATTGAGCTGATTTTCGTTCCCAGAAGTTCCCAGCGCCTCGACAGATTCTCGGAACGCCGCGGCTCGGAGCTGCTTTCGTCACCTGTCACACTAGTGCACCGGGAAAAAATGCTGCTTTTCCGGCCATATCTTTTGACTCCACCAAGTCTCTACTTCGATTTTTGGTAAGCGTGTGGATTCAGGTATGACCGACCTCTGGAAAAAAAATTGTAGGATTCTACGCACCCCTTTTAGAGATACTTCAATTTTAGACTTTAAGATCTTCATAAAAAAAAAATTTTGAAGTTAAAGTCAAACTTGGTGTACATATGTGGAAAACCCGTTTCAAGAGCTTTTAATCGGCACCAGAACGGTTCAGATCGAATTAACGACTCCGAAAATACAGGAAAGTGAAGGGCATAACCTCTGTTATTTTACTCGAACTTTAAAGCTCAATAAAAGTTCAACTAATGGACAAAAATATTAAAAAATCACATTTTTGGAATCAGCTGAATGAGTAGAGTGAGTGTGCCAAATTTCATCAAAGTTTTTTTTTTTTTTTTTTTTTTTTTTCAAGGTTCCTGGTGCCAGCCTTTTACTATTATTTTTTTTTTTTACTACTTCAAATAGCCCACAAGGGCTAATCCCGCTTTAATAGTCCCATCCCTACAACCAGTCCCAGGCAACCATTGTTTGAGACCATCAAACTCGGGTCGACTGGCCGGGAATCGAACCCGGGACCTCCCAATCATAGAGCAAGCGCTACAACCACTACACCATAGGAGGCCGACAAAGTTTGAGGATGTTGGGTCAAATTTTGGTTTGATTTGGCATGAAATGACCCTCCTCCCTAAAATGATAAAATCCTCCATAATTCAAAAATATTTTTAAACGTTTAACTGTGCTTTTACAGTAAATCAGAGAAGGGAGCTCAGCCAGGAAGAGAATGACAGTACGTCTGAATTTGACAATGAAGATGGAGCCATTTGCATCTCAGCAGTCGAAGGTGATGGAGACAATGAATTGGTAGCAAATTTCAACAATAAAGCAAGCATTTCGGAATGCGTAACGAATACAACTAATCAAAAGCCGCAATGGAAACGACCAATCTCTTGTCTTAGCGTTGGTAAATTATCTCACTGTCGTCCATCATGATGTCTCTTGTTCCTATTCACAGTGTACCTAATCTTCGTTCGGATTGCAGCGCTTTCCTTCAGGGTCCTGCAGGCTGATCATAAAAATTGATGGACAATGCGACAGTCTAAGATGACAAAGAGGAAAAAGAGCGATTTTATTGGTGGAAATGGGTGATTGCAATCTGGACCCCCAAGACAGAATATGGGTCCTGGGACATATTAAAGAGATGAGTCCCTATGGGCTCTGGGGATAGGGAAATCCCCTCTCTAGATAGGAAAACTGACAGACTTACAAAAACTGTCCGCGGACGCGGGAAACTTGAAAAAGTGTGTTACAAACTACGCAGATTGCCAGATAGCGAGCAAAGGAATGGATTTCAGACTTTTTGAACGTGACCGACGTGACTTTCGTGTGATTTTACTCACATAGAGCACCTGCGTTTGGCCGTATCTCTTGTGTGCAACAGATCCATTGAAGGTACCGGAGATGAGATTTTGTGCTAACTCAATATGAATTTCAAGCCGTGTTAAAAGCTTTAATTATAACGCTAATAGGGTAAATTTTAGGGTTTAGGCTTGCCAAATATAACTAACAAGAATGAAGAGAAGAAATGGGTCAAAAAGGCCAGTGAGACTGCCCTAAAGAGAAGCCTCTAAACCTGTATAAAATACAAAAATTGTGCTTACTCGCGAGGTCTCAAGACAGATTAACAAATTGCATTGGCACCTCCCAAATTATATAGCCAATTCGATCCTGGTGACCTCTGGTTCCCCGACGAAAGTTTCGTTCGCCCCCTCCCCTTGGCGGCCCTGGTTGCAATGAACAGAGGAGGTAAGTAATAGACTACCATACGGCAACCCATGAGAGACTCCATAGTTAGTCCATCGTTTTCCCTCCTTGGTCTGTAAGAACCACTCTTTTCAATCTGTAGAATATAGAATCGTTTCATTTTCCTTTTGTCTATTACTTTGTATATCCATTTCAATAATCAGCGGGCTGCAGCATTTTTATTATGTGCGATTCTGTTTTCATACTTGTTTTTTTTATTTTATTTTATTTTTTTTCTTTTCACCAAGAAGGAATCAGCCAGTCTCTTTGATCACTCTGATAGTAGTGTTTGGACTAATTTCTAATATTTTTATAGTAAGAATCAGCAAAAGCGAAATTTCCTGAGAGAACTTCGGGAGGTAAATATCTTGAATGAATGTTCCTTCATTTCAACCTTCCTTTCTTCCATCAAGTTCATAACCTTTTGATAAAAGGAAGCCAACGTCAAGTGGCAATTACTGTTCCTGGTCCTGAATCCGCAGGGATAGAACTACGCCATGTTTCTTCAAGAGGTTAATAGCCTATTGCGTGCAATATTCCTCTCTTGCCATTCATATGTTACAGTTCAGTTAGTTATTGATTTTAAGCATTTTTGAGAGGAAAACCTTTTTTTTTCACCCGATTCACCGCATGTAGAGGGTTCTGAACCAGAATTGGAATTTGCTCTGAAATTCAATGCCCTGATGAATGCAATTTTAATGCAGTGCTTGTTATCCATCCATCTAAACCTAAGTAATTATCTTCGCAATCTATAAGAATGTTGAACAGTTTCTAAACATTCACCGATTTTGCATAGATTATTCCTTTAATTGACAGCACTGATTCAGGGGAGGTCCTGTTGAAGAATCCAAAATTTGCCCACGTGGACCACCTAATAGATCCACTGCATATGCGAGATATCAGGTGAGAATAAAAGTTCTGCTTTTGAAGCTGCGCAGAGGCCAATATTAACTTTATAATTTTTTTGCTTATGACAGAAGTAAAAACATTTCAAGAGATATCATTAAATAATGGTCCTCTGAGTAATAGAAATTTAAGGCCACAATTGTGCATACTGTTACACTTATCATTATTGAAGAAGTTTTAGAAACATTGTCATGGCAAGTAACTTTTTTTGTTCCAACTTTCTGAGAACCTAACCATTGGTTTCTTACCATGATTTATTCATACCTTCATGAACTGTTGTCACACTATGGAGTAGATTCATTTCATGATAAGTAGTTCTCAGGATAGTTTTTTTCTTCTGATTTTCTGTAAACAAGTGTAAGGCCTTGCCTTGTACAATGTACATACGAGCGCGGTTCCCCAAACTTGGGGCGAACTTTTTCCAGGAACTTATTATAACTTAGTTATAACTTGTCCTGCAAAACTCCAGTTTGTGGAACTTATAATGCACCCAAACTGCGCTCATGTGAACAAGGCCCAAAAGTATTTTTCTTTGTGATTTTTTAAAAACTCTACCAACTGCTGTCTACCACAAAGTAAACATTGATAATTTATGAGACTGACCTTTTTTTTCTTATCACAACCATGATGATCGTAATCATAATTACAGAACAATTAGAGTTCATGTCTAGATTCATAACATAAAATAATTCCCGTTTTGTAGCATTTTTCCTCTTATTTTTATGTTTGTTCTTGTTTTTGTGTAAAACCCATCTCAATTTCCAAGTCTAGAATCAGACTTCTGAGGCATGAAATACTAGAATCCAGTAGAGAAGTGAAAAAAGAAAATGTCTGATTAGAGCCGAAAGTATGTAAAAACATTTTTTTAAAAATTGACGTATAGCACTGATGATTGCATGGTCAATGTGGTTTTAATTAGAAGGGTTATCCAGAAAGTAATATTACCTAATCTGTACTTCCTATACTAAGATTGATAGAGAAGAACTATAAAAATCGTTAAAAAGCTACTACTCTCAGCTTTCTAACGTTCTATAAAAATCCAAATTCGGTCCGACAGCACTCTAGAAAGTGGTTTTTTTTTAACCCAACTCCCCAAGCGGGTCCAAACTTTTACAAAACTTTAGCAGCACATGAGCTGAACTGCTGCAATACAAAACTTTAGCAGCACGTGAGCTGAACTGCTGCATCTATTGCTTATGGCAAGGAAGTGAACTAAAAATGGTTTTTTATTTAAAACATCACATAGTTGGAAAATTGCTGGATTGACCATGTGTTTTTTTTGTTTTTTTTGTTAAAGTGCAAATGAAATCTGTAGTTTAGTAATTTCAATGTTGATTTGGTCCAATCGTGAAGTTTTACTGCTAGATTTTGTTTTGTTGTGTGGATTGTGCTGTTATTTGTTCTTTTCCCAATTAGGTAACTATAGCTCACTGTGCAACAAAAAAAAATGACAAAAATGTCTCCCGGAGGAGATAAGGTGATTCCCATGTATTTTGAGGCGTTGAATCCGGATATGACCTCCGTTCTTTTCCATCACCCTCCAGTTTTTCGGCAAAGTCGATTTTACCCGGAAAAATGGCCATTTTCGGGCATTTTTGGTGTTTTTGCGACTGTTACCCCCTGCAGAATGTAGGTATTTTTCTCAGATACGAGAAACGGCTATTCCAATGTATTTTGAGCCGCTGAGTCCGAAAATGACCTTCATTTTTCCCTATCTCGTCTCAGTTTTCCGGAAAAGCGACTTCTCCCCGGGAAAATGAGCAAATTTGACGTATATTTGTCATGCATGCAATTTATTTGTATAAATTTTCCTGGACCCGTGGTACAGTGATTTACAGTGGTGATGGTACAGTGGTACCCCCTATTTTCCGGTAAAGTTGATTTTTCCGAGCCTAAATTTGTGTACGAGGTATGATCCATTAGAAACCGAATTTTGGTCATTTAGGGCCAACGGATGATCGGATTGACGTTTTCTTGGGTTTATCTGATTGCTGATAAACTGGCAAACACGTTGGTTTTTACGGATTTCAATTATCTTAACTAGTTCGAATTTTACAGCCGTTTGATTCAGGTGTGTTCAAGTGCGTATTGCGATTTTGAGAAATGCGTGAGCTTTTAGAACAACGGTGTAACATTAAATTTTGTTCTAAGTTGGGTAAAACGTTTTCCGAAACTTTTGCACTGTTAACGAGAGTTTATGGTGATAAGTGTTTAAGTCGGACTCAGTGTTACGAATGGTTTAAGAGATTTAAAAACGGTCAGGAATCGGTGAAAGATGAGGTTCATGGAGTTAAGCCCAGGACGTCAACTGACGAGATTCACGTGAATCAAGTTCGCGAAGAAGTGCAAACCGACGGCCGTTTAACAATTCGTGAGCTTTCAGAGGAACTGAATATTTCTTTTGGGTCCGTTTAAAGAATTTTAACCCAAAATTTGAACATGCGTAGAGTTTCTGCAAAGTGGATTCCTAAGTTGTTTATCCAAGCGCAAAAAGAAAAGCGCGTTTTCATCTGCCAACAGCTGCTGGACCGCTCAAATGCTGATGTAGATCTTTCAAGTAAAATTGTCACCGGTGATGAAACTTGAGTCTATGGTTATGATGCTGAAACCAAGGCCCAGTCATCTCAGTGACTGGAAAAAGGTGCCCTGAGGCCCAAAAAAGCACGCGCTTGGGTTAACAACTTGGGAATCCACTTTGCAGAAACTCTACAAGGTTCAAATTTTGGGTTAAAATTCTCTGAACGGACCCAAAAGAAATATTCAGTTCCTCTGAAAGCTCACGAATTGTTAAACGGCCGTCGGTTTGCACTTCTTCGCGAACTTGATTCACGTGAATCTCGTCAGTTGACGTCCTGGGCTTAACTCCATGAACCTCATCTTTCACCGATTCCTGACCGTTTTTAAATCTCTTAAACCATTCGTAACACTGAGTCCGACTTAAACACTTATCACCATAAACTCTCGTTAACAGTGCAAAAGTTTCGGAAAACGTTTTACCCAACTTAGAATAAAATTTAATGTTACGCCGTTATTCTAAAAGCTCACGCATTTCTCAAAATCGCAACACGCACTTAAACACACCTGAATCAACCGGCTGTAAAATTCGAACTAGTTAAGATAATTGAAATCCGTAAAAACCAACGTGTTTGCCAGTTTATCAGCAATCAGATAAACCCAAGAAAACGTCAATCCGATCATCCGTTGGCCCTAAATGACCAAAATTCGGTTTCTAATGGATCATACCCCGTATAAGCTTTCCCGGACTCGAAGGGGATTGAAAATATATTTCAAACATGTTCGCGACGTGCGATACATCGTCTTATATGTATTTTGACTCGTTGAACCCGAATGTGACTTTGGATTTATCCGATCGCCCACGATTTTCCCGGTTTTCCTTGTAAAACTACCTTTGTAGGTGTTTTTTGGACGATTTTCCTGTTGTCAGGAGTTTAAAAAATTTCCTGAGATCCTCTCTAGGTCTCTCCTACTATATTAAGAGCAGCTGAATCCGAATTTGACCTCTGTTCGTCTCTGACAACCCCCCGTTTTCTAGAAAGTCCGATTTTTCCGGGGAAAAAGCTTTTCCTAACCGTCCCCACCTCCAGGGCAATTTGAAAAATTTTCCGCATGTGTGATACATCGATTCTTATGTATTTTGAGCTGGAAATCCGAATGTGACCTGAAATATTCGTTATCATCCACCACTTTTACTGAAAACTCGATTTTGGGGGGGGGGGGGTATTTTTGACCATTTACGGTGTTATCGCGACTGTTACTCCTTGTGAAATGTGCTTAAGATTTTTCTTAGCTACAAAACATATTATGCATTAGGTACTCTGAGTCAGAAAATGGCCTCCACTTTTTTCTATGAGCCCTAGCTCAGTTTTGTAAAAACGACACTTTTTGCCGGGAGATGGAGTGAAATTGACTTGTTTCAGTCGGGCATGTAATTCTTATTTAAATAATTATCCTGGATCCGTGACGGCAAGATTCCTATGTAGTTTCAAATGCTGAATCAGAATATGACCCCTAATTTTTCCCATCACCCTCTATTTTGTCGGAAAAGTAGATTTTTCTTGTAGAACGTGTTTTTTGGTATATTTACGAAATTTTCCCAGAAAATCGAGAATTCCGTACAAATGGTGGGTGATAACGAATTTTTGAGGTCATATTCGGATTTTTCAGCTCAAATTACATAAGAATCGATGTATCACACATGCGGAAAATTTTTCAAATTTCCCTGGAGGTGGGGACGGTTCGGAAAAGTTTTTTCCCCGGAAAAATCGGACTTTCTAGAAAACGGGGGGTTGTCAGAGACGAACAGAGGTCAAATTCGGATTCAGCTGCTCTTACTATAGCAGGAGAGACCTAGAGAGGATCTCAGGAAATTTTTTAAACTCCTGACAACAGGAAAATCGTCCAAAAAACACCTACAAAGGTAGTTTTACAAGGAAAACCGGGAAAATCGTGGGTGATCGGATAAATCCAAAGTCACATTCGGGTTCAACGAGTCAAAATACATATAAGACGATGTATCGCACGTCGCGAACATGTTTGAAATATATTTTCAATCCCCTTCGAGTCCGGGAAAGCTTATACACAAATTTAGGCTCGGAAAAATTGACTTTACCGGAAAATTGGAGTGTGATGATAAAAAACCGAGGTCATATTCGGATTCAGCGGCTTAAAATACATAAGAATCACTGTACTACGGGTCCAGGAAAATTAATACAAATAAATTGCATGCTTGACAAATATACGTCAAATTTGCTCATTTTCCCGGGGAAAAGTCGCTTTTCCGGAAAACTGAGACGTGATAGGGAAAAATGAAGGTTATTTTCGGACTGAGCGGCTCAAAATACATAAGAATCACCTTATCTCCTCCAGGAGATATTTTTGTCATTTTTTTTGTTGCACAGTGAGATGCTCGAATTCAGGATAATTTACACTAAAGATATTCAAAAGGCTGCATATTTTACCAAATAGTGCATCTTTGAGGGGTTTTTTTGCGAATAGGTGGGATAATATGGAAGATTTTGAACGGCTTTGTAAGGAAGCAAGAATTCAAGCAGACAATGGACCACTAGACAAGGTACGAAGGGAGGCTGTAAACTGCCACCCATTTCCTGGAAACATGGACCACTGCCCCCCGTATAAGTTTGAAAACTGCCACCCGACTTGACAACTACCCCCCGTGTAAATTTGACAACTGCCACCGGTAGTGACAACTGCCACCCGTTGAAATTTGACCAAGGAGCGCGATTGAGCGGGGTCGCACAGTTTACCAAACTTTCCTTCACACTTGGACAGGCTGAGGACTGTCTACTGAAAATCAACACATGATAAGAAATTGAGCAGTGTCTGTGATGATTTTTTAAAGGCGTGTTTAAAAGTTATTTTTTAATACAATTTTTTTAAAATTTTTTATTATGGTGAAAAGAGGTCAATGGGCTCTCAGTTGAAAGTAGTGAAAAATTGTAAAAAGTATTTTTACAGTAATTTACAGTATTTTTATAGTAAAAAATAGTTAAAAGTAGTAACATTTTAGTAAAATTACAGTCAAAGAGTACATCACTACTAGGAGCTTTTTTCATCATT